AGTGTTTCATATTTCAGAATAAAACCGTTCATTCCTTTCTACCTGTCAGTCACAACACATCAACATGGCAGGGGGTACAAGCGGAAAATTTATTACACTTGGGTTGTAAAACTGTCCTTGGCACAGCGTTGGGCAATAATATTTAATTCCTGTCTGAAATGTTCATAAGTGAAAATAGATAAACAGTGTGTCTGTTTTGTTATCATGTGAAGATTCAGTCACACAGAGATACATTGCCCTTAATGTCTTCTTCAACAAGTAAAAACGCATCTAACAAAATGCTTGACCTTGATTTGAAGTGCACAAGATCAAAGATCTCTCAAAGATGTCTAAAAGACTTAGATCAGACTTTGAAGCTTGCAATATTTTCTAGTTCTTTACAAGAAACATCCATCAGTTGCCAGTGTCTGTGGACTATCAACTTCATTACCTGTGTACTGGGCATTAACACTAAACATACCAGCACATTTAGATTGCAACTGATATGTGTATAATCTTAATGACTATTCTTCCTAAAATTAGCAGCCAGACACAAAATAAGTGAATATTACAAGAATGTTCTGCCAAGCTGCAAGTTATCAAAATGACAAAAATCCAGAGAAGTCTGTTGATGGTAAAAGGGCGAATAACTCTTCCATGACTATTCAAAGTGTCTAAAAGCACAATTCATTAACAGTTACGTACATGTGTACTGAGTTACTCAACCCTTATGATGTGGATAAAAGGAGTACGTGAGTGAGTTTGGTTTAACGCCGCTTTAACAGTATTCCAGTTATATCATGGCTTGTCAGCTTAATGTGGGAGGAAAGCCCCAAGTGATGCAGGCCTCAGACGTTTACCACTTCGGTGAAACCCACAAGCACGGGTAAGGTGCTGACAAACCTAGAAACATAATTGGGGCAAACCGGGATTTGAACCCACAATCATAGGTTTCTGGCGTGCCCAAGGGACACAACTCTGCGTAGTGGATCACAGCGCCTTAGACGACCAGGCCACCCATGCCCGTCGTAGATAAAATGAAAGATCTCAGTCACAAATGCAAAACAAAAAGTGTCCTAACTATTTACAATGACATTACTTAATGACATTTTTAACTAAAATCACCTGTGTACATGAACCATGGCAGGAAGAAGGCAATCATTCTTAGATTCTTAACCTCAAGCATAATTGTAAATTGAATTGACATAACATGTACTACCCTCTCTCAAATATGACCCGTTTTCAACCCATATGTGTAACGGGCCGATGGCTGTATCACATTTCTTGAATAAACTTCATGAATTGAACATAAAGTCTACATAATCGGATAGTTCCATTTGAGAGCAAGTGTTGAAGATCATCATTTGCAAGTAGATGGATTATTTACTCATTTAATTCAACAGTGAGGTAAATATTCATGGGATACAGAAAACTACTGACTGGGGCTGTGCTCAACTGGTCACGAAACAGATGCTGAAGGTTTTTGTCAGGGCGAACACATTGATGCAAGTGAGTTACTGCTGTGAGAATATTTCCAGCTATATAATGGCTTCAGGTATACATACAAGTCTGGGAAAGGCAAAAAAAACCTGTCTTGATGGTAACACACAATCAGTAGTATGAGTTTATCTTAAAACAAGCTGATAAAGGACAGAAGATCTATGATGGAAACTAAATTGGTCAATTGTTTGAAGGGCATTACTTACAAGTTGAGGGATGACAAAGGAGACACACTTTATGGATATCAAGTTCTTTAATTACTGTAAAGTCTACATTTCTGAATAGATCTTGCTTGATAGCAGTATATGGATCTATACCGAAACAATTGCCTTTACAGTAATCTAAGAAGTTGTTATCCATAAATTGTATCTCTTTTGTAAATTGGTATTTTATTGTCTGATTATTCAGCCTTAGGCTTTATATTTGTCTCCATTTCTGCCATCAAAACCAAAAACATGCAAGCTCGTAATAATAGATAAATATGATAATAATGGTTATCATGTTAATGTTTTTGCTCATGGCGGGACAGTTTGTGGGGCGGGGAGTTTGTGGTGAAGTGGGTCGGTTTGGGAGGTCGCGCAGTTCATGAAGTGGGGGAGTTTGTGGGGTGGGGCAGTATGTGGCATGGGGGAGTTTATGGGATGGGGGAGTTTGTGGGGTGGGGCAGTATGTGGCATGTGGGAGTTTATGGGATGGGGGAGTTTGTGGGGTGGGGCAGTATGTGGCATGTGGGAGTTTATGGGATGGGGAAGTTTGTGGGGTGGGGCAGTATGTGGCATGTGGGAGTTTATGGGATGGGGGAGTTTGTGGGGTGGGGCAGTATGTGGCATGTTGGGGTTTATGGGTCGGGGGAGTTTGTGGGGTGGGGCAGTTTGTGGGGTGGGGCAGTTTGTGGGATGGGCCAGTTTGTGGGGTTGGGCAGTTTGTGGGTGGGGCAGTTTGTGGGGTGGGGCAGTTTGTGGGTGGGGTGGGGCAGTTTGTGGGTGGGGCAGTTTGTGAGCTGGGGCAGATTGTGGCATGAGGGAGTTTATGAGGTGGGGAAGTTTGTGAGGTGGGGAAGTTTGTGGGGTGGGGCAGTTTGTGGGTGGGGCAGTTTGTGAGGTGGGGCATTTTGTGGGGTGGGGCAGTTTGTGGGATGAGGTAGTTTGTGGACTGGGGAAGTTTGTGGGATGGGGAAGTTTGTGGGATGAGGTAGTTTGTAGACTGGGGAAGTTTGTGGGATGGGGAAGTTTGTGGGATGGGGCAGTTTGTGAGGTGGAGAAGTTTGTGGGGTGGGGAAGTTTGTTGGGTGGGGCATTTTGTGGGGTGGGGCAGTTTGTGAGGTGGGGCATTTTGTGGGTTGGGGCAGTTTGTGAGGTGGGGCAGTATGTGGCATGAGAGAGTTAATGGGGTGGGGGAGTTTGTGGGATGGGGAAGTTTGTGGGGTGGGGCATTTTGTGGGATGGGGCAGTTTGTGAGGTGGAAAAGTTTGTGGGGTGGGGCAGTTTGTGGGTGGGGCAGTTTGTGGGGTGGGCCAGTTTGTGGGTGGGGCAGTTTGTGGGGTGGGGCAGTTCATGAAGTGGGAAAGTTTGTACAGGCTCTGTGAACAGGGAGAACTCAACACAATCATACCTGCTATTAGGTGGGTTAAGGTATCTACAAACAAACTCAAATCATCAAAAAACAACTAAAAACATACAAAATAATAAAATGTTATTGTTAAAGGTTAAAATATATCAATTGTGATCTACTGCAACACTGATACGATACTAGCATTATACCAGTTGTATTATGACTGATTTGTGAAAGTGGTCACTGAATAATAGAGAACTTATTTATTCAGCATGATTAACACTTTCCAATATCATGGCTATTTCACTTTGTCAACAATGTCTTGCCACATATTGAAATATGTCCCACAAAGAGTCAGATATATCCACATACGGTACTAAAGATCATAAGTACTAAACATCAATCAATGCTACACAAAGTTGCTAAAATAGAGAGAAAATTAAGTCATCAAGAGTTGTCTCCCCTGCATCCATCTCCAAACCCTGTCTTTTTCACGAAATGTTATTCTCCAGGAGAAGGTGCAAGGGAATATGTTTTCATTAGTAACACAAGTATACCACTTAAATAAATAAATTCACAGAAAACAACATACAAGGAAACTCTTTTAAACAAAAAGCAAAAACATTTGCTGTCAGTCCGGAAGTGCAAATATCTCGTGCAATGAGATTTCCCCTCATAATGTGGGAAAAGATTTCAGGCAAAGCTATCTAACCAGGTGAGAAGCTACCAGTATTTACTGTTAAACGCTGAATATCCCTAATTTGTACTTTTCCTGTCACAGATCACTTCTCAATTTCCTTGCTTTAGCTCCTGCATGAAGGACAGGCTAGTGCTACACAAGCTCAAGAGTTTCACCCAATTTTACACAGATACACAGAATGTTACACAGGAATTTTTTAACTATAACCAAATTAAACATATGCATTTTCGGGACAATTGTGAACCACCATTTCTGGAATCATACCAAAGAAAACATGACACTGAACAGAATTTGCACATGGCGACACTGTAGTTTGCACTACACAACACTGTACAGAGTTTTCAAAAACATGACACTGTACAGAGTTTGCATAAACATGACACTGTACATAATTTGCACATGACACTGTACATAGTTTGCAGAGTTGCACAACATGACACTGTATGACACTGTACACAGTTTGCACATGACACTGTAGAGAGTTTGCACACGACACTGTACAGAGTTTGCACAACACGACACTGTACAGAGTGCATATGACACTGTACAGAGTTTGTGCATCACACTGTACAGGATGCACAACATGACACTGTACAGAGTTCACACATGACACTGTACAGGGTGCACAACATGACACTTTACAGGGTGCACAACATGACACTGTATGACACTGTACACAGTTTGCACATGACACTGTACAGAGTTTGCACAACACGACACTGCACAGAGTTTGCGCATCACACTGTACAGGATGCACAACATGACACTGTACAGAGTTCACACATGACACTGTACAAGGTGCACAACATGACACTGTACAGGGTGCACAACATGACACTGTATAGTTTCACAACATGACACTGTACAGAGTTTGCACATGACACTGTACTGTTTCCACAACATGACACAGTAGAGAGTTCGCACAACATGACACAGTATGGAGTTTGCACATGACACTGTAGAGTTGCACACCATGACACTGTTCAGAGTTTGCACAACATAAAACTGTACAGTTTGCACAACATGATACAGTAGAGAGTTTGTACAACATACAATACTTCAAGATGAGACTATGCTCCACATACTTAAATCAGTCCAGGTCTACACACTGTGAGACGTGGGAAACCGTGCCACTGTCTGTGTAATTAGGTTGCCATACCTCATAACATTTGTGCTAGCAGACAATGCAGATTTTGAAAGAATTGCCAGGACTGCCTGTTGACCTGAGCAGAGCACCCCTTTAAGGAAAAGTCAGCATCACAAAGCTCACCTGGTCTCACCCGTCTCGTTGCGGAAGGCCTGTTCCATCTGTTTCTCTTTGGTGGTTAGGCCATCGAGCTGCATCTGCCTCCGCTCCACCTCACGCTGGGTGCTGATGCCTGGTTAAGGAACATCATAGCAAGAGAGACATGCATGTTAAGTAGGCAATAGAAAAATCGGTTAAAATGTGCAGCTGACAAGCAAGATTACCACAGGGTCCCTGGCACAGTGTCAGTACATGCATAATTATATATTGGGGTTATTTATGTTTCGTTGGTATGTGTCAAATCATGCAGACAAAGATAGAAAATCATGAGTGAATTGCAAGTGAGTAAACAGAAAGTGTCAGAAGCTCCAGTAAAATATCTACTGCATCCCTGACATGATCCACCCAGCAAAGGCCTTTATGCAGTAGCACATAAACTTGGCATTTTGTTAAGATCATTGCACAATTTAGAAGGCATAAGCCTGGGCTAAGAGGCGGCTGCTTAATGATAAACACAGTAAGACTTTGTAGATTTGACATGTTATGTACATATTTGTTCATTTTCTTTCCCCAAATCACAACTTGTAGTGTGTAATAGAGCTGGGATGGGTCCAAATTTACTACCCAGGTACCCACCACCCTATTACCCGACCCTCCCTGGGGACCCGCTGTAGATATTTAGAGATAGGTTCAAACTGTCCGATTTGGAAAAGTTTGACCGTCGCCCTGGCTAAATGTATTTAGATACACATGAAAAACGATCCGCTCATGCATACACTGAAATTTAATGCATGAAGTTTTAGTTTTATTCAAACATATAAAAGTAAGAAGGAATGGGTGCATTGTCAGAAAGAAATGGGAACATTAGTGACTTATAGTGTAACCATGGATAGTAGATAATTTTTGTCATTAAACAATATATATCACATGACAAACCACGGGTCCAGGTAGTCCTGTGGGTACCCGGGTCCTACTCAGGACCCACCCCACCCGACCCGAGTATCCGAGTTACCCGTCCCAGCCCTAGTGTGTAAGGAAGAGAATTTATGGACGTCAACTTCTATATTATGAGGGACACGTATCGGAGTATATACTTACTCACCTGATGAAGGAGTAAGTATATACTCCGAAATATTGCATTCCTCATAATAAAGAAGTTGACATCAATATATTCTCTTCCTTATGTGATCCCTTCTAAAAGCCATTCAAAGACTTGTATAGTGCAGATTACAGGTTATTTGTTTTGAGTGAATGAATAATGTCCTGATTGTTCTAGTGGAAGCTGGAAAGTGAGACACTGTGTTGACATTCAGCAAGGATACATGTGGTAGGATGAGGAGGCCCTCATTAGGTTCTGTCGGAGTTTGCCGAGGTCCCCAGAAAACTGTTTCATTGACACTCGTATTTGTGCGGATAGCTGGAACAAAAGGGCATCAGTTACATCATCTCCCATCTCAGGTCACAACATAGTCATTTTAGACTATCACCAGATTCTTCAGACACGTGTGATTTTTCATGTTTCATTTTCTCAAACAAACTGTTCAATGCAGCTGTGTCCATGAACTGTTGATGGCTGTCATTCAGGTTTGGAAGAACTATGTACATGTATCATGCTGTAGTATAAAATGATTTGATGCAGTAGTTGGGTGAAGTGCGTCCAAGATTGATGCACTTGTATAGCAATGCATGCATATGTGTGTATATGTGTGGCTGCTTGTACTAGTCCAGACTGATATCGATTTATAAATAGTGCTATCCCACTGAGATACCATGCCACAGTTTAACATGAATACTACCCCACTCAGACACAGTATACTGACTCCGAGCCGACCAGTCCTTGTTTAAGCCGCTTAATGCCGAGCACCAGACAGGGTAATAACAAGTACCATCTTTTAACGTCATTTGATATGACGTGGCCAAGGATCGAACCCCGAACCTTCCGCTCTCCAGGCGGACGCTCCACCTCTAGACCACGGAGGCAGTGCTAATGCCAAGTTCCAGACAGGGTAACAACAAGTACAATCTTTTAACGTCTTTTGGTATGACACGGCCGGGGGATCAATAGAGCGGATGCTCTACCAATAGACCATGGAGGCGGTCTAATTGTTAGGTAGTGAGGCAGTGGGGAGAAAATGTTATCATTAATTTCTTTAGCATGACATATAAAACAACAAAACAACATCCTTGAGACACTGAACACTGGTTTCTATTGGCACATCCGTCTGAAATGTGTAACCCATTCTTGTCAGAAACCCCACATTAAATACTTGGTAACATGAATTCAATTTTGAATTCTTTATGACATGTCACTTATAAAACAACAATATGAAAAAAATGAGTAAAAATACACTCGTTACTGCAGATATTCTCAACAACCCTCCCAGTTCCATTACATTAACTATCAGACAACTGGAGTCATGCTTGGCTGACCTGACACCACAGAAGATGAACAGAAAGGGGGATAACTCTTGAGGTCTTGGGAACTTGAGTTTCAGTCACCATTCATAACCAGCTGACAAATATAGAAGTAAGTATTGTAGTGGCAGTAAAATGTACAATACATGTAATTGTATAAAATAATTCAATTATTTCAGGCCATTTAATTTTGGTTTGAAAGTATTAATAAAATAACTTTCTTTTATCTTTCTGAGTGCATCATTGTCAGATTTGTAAAACGAGAATATCGCAATATTCGGTGTTTTATTCCCGGCACACTGATCAATGTGCTGACTGAGTGGGATACACCGACAAGAGGGGTCCCTTATTTGTTGTCGCTGGACCCTCACTCTCGCTCTTCTATACACAGGTATAAAGGTGAAACAGAGTCATGAAAAAACGTTTTCTTTGCATTTTCAAGCAAAGTATTTGTTATGGATTGCGACTCCAAAACATGCTATTTCGTGTCAATCTGTCTTTGATATAAAGTGATGTATTTAAGAATTATAGACAATCACTGTCAAATACAGTTAACTACGGTTATAACAAACTCAAAGGGACCACTAATTTTAGTTCGTTATATCTGTAGTTTGCTATAAGCATTTAATCAAGTCATGTTACTGTCTCTTCTTAAATCTCTCCAGCTAGCCGGTATTTGCACTACAGTCAGAATGTCCTCGCCTCGCAGAAAATTTGTTTGCCTTAGAAATTATTATGGGACCACTCAATGGAATGTTTTCACATACAGTTTTTGTACAGCTTTAAACCACTCGAACAGCGCATCTTCTACATCTTTTTAAGTTTAGGATCGGAATGGTTTGGTAGCTGCCTTGCACTCGGATGACTGGCACTTGTCAATGATAGACTATTGTTAATTGAGGGTGTAATTTGAGGACAAGGTGTCAGAGTAAATCAATTGCCTACAATTGTTTATTACCGCTCTGAACAGTCGCGCGTGGTCGCAGATGTTTTGTTAGGCAGATTGGTGACACAGGAGTAGCTCAGCTCAGAGATTAACAGTTCATCATAAACTTAAACATTATTGTTGACAGAGTACACATGGGAACACAAAGTGTGTTCGGTATATCCATTATTTCGTTATATCCATCAATTCTATATGATAGATTATACAGCAAACGTCTCAGACCCAATGAACAGTTCGTTATATCCGTCAGTTTGTTGTAAGCGTGGTCGTTATAAACATGGTTTACTGTATTCTAATTTTCAGACAGTTGGCCTGCTGTCATATTCGGTAATGTGAATGCGAGGGTTTCTCTGAAATGATATCCCGGAGTACTGTCAACATGACATCCCAGAGTTCTGTCAACATAGCATCCCAGAGTACTGTCGACATGATATCCCGGAGTTCTGTCAACATGACATCCCAGAGTTCTGTCAACATAGCATACCAGAGTACTGTCGACATGACATCCCAGAGTCCTGTCAACATGACATCCCGGAGTACAGTCAACATGACATCCCAGAGTACAGTCAACATGACATCCCAGAGTACTGTCGACATGATATCCCAGAGTCCTGTCAACATGACATCCCAGAGTTCTGTCAACATAGCATCCCAGAGTACTGTCGACATGACATCCCGGAGTCCTGTCAACATGACATCCCAGAGTTCTGTCAACATAGCATCCCAGAGTACTGTCGACATGATATCCCGGAGTTCTGTCAACATAGCATCCCAGAGTACTGTCGACATGATATCCCGGAGAACTGTCAACATGACATCCCAGAGTTCTGTCAACATAGCATCCCAGAGTACTGTCGACATGATATCCCGGAGTACTGTCGACATGATATCCCGGAGTACTGTCGACATGACATCCCGGAGTACTGTCGACATGACATCCCAGAGTCCTGTCAACATGACATCCCGAAGTGCTGTCAACATGACATCCCGGAGTACTGTCAACATGACATCCCGGAATGCTGTCAACATGACATCCCGGAATGCTGTCAACATGACATCCTGGAGTACTGTCAACATGACATCCCAGAGTCCTGTCAACATGACATCCCAGAGTCCTGTCAACATGACATCCCGGAGTACTGTCAACATGACATCCCGGAGTCCTGTCAAAATGACATCCCGGAGTACTGTCAACATGACATCCCGAAGTGCTGTCATCATGACATCCCGAAGTGCTGTCATCATGACATCCCGAAGTGCTGTCAACATGACATCCCGGAGTACTGTCAACATGACATCCCGAAGTGCTGTCATCATGACATCCCGAAGTGCTGTCAACATGACATCCCGGAGTTCTGTCAACATGACATCCCGGAGTACTGTCAACATGACATCCCGGAGTACTGTCGACATGACATCCCGGAGTGCTGTCATCATGACATCCCGAAGTGCTGTCGACATGACATCCCGGAGTACTGTCGACATGACATCCCGGAGTACTGTCAACATGACATCCCGGAGTACTGTCAACATGACATCCCGGAGTACTGTCAACATGACATCCCGGAGTCCTGTCAACATGACATCCCGGAGTGCTGTCAACATGACATCCCGGAGTCCTGTCAACATGACATCCCGGAGTCCTGTCAACATGACATCCCGGAGTACTGTCAACATGACATCCCGGAGTACTGTCAACATGACATCCCGGAGTCCTGTCAACATGACATCCCGGAGTGCTGTCAACATGACATCCCGGAGTCCTGTCAACATGACATCCCGGAGTCCTGTCAACATGACATCCCGGAGTACTGTCAACATGACATCCCGGAGTACTGTCAACATGACGTCATCAAAGGAATGTTGTTGTATGCTGCAAGATTAATTCAGGACACCGACAGAAGGAAATTCTCATGCTTCCGTAACATGTTAAAGATGAAGCTATTCATATTTGCTAAGCAAATTTGAAACAGATACCAGAGTTCCAGATGAAGTAAGGACGATAAGTGGTCATTGTCATAACCTGAATCAAAAGTTTAAAACTTAGAAGATCTCAAGGAGTCCAGGCCCTCCCTTAATTTTGAAACACTTCGATACCATAAATGATTCTTTTGACATATTTGCATGCATGTGGACATGGCGAGTGTTTGCCCTATGTGTTTCCACACAAAACTGCATTGGACTTGTTGGTAGATAAGAATGACAAAAGCACAAGACGATAAGCATTTTGAAAATATATATATAAAAATTTAATGCATCCAACCCAACGCTCTTAAAAAGTGATGTCTGTCATCATGCAGCAAAGGACATTAAGTGCTTCTCCTAAAGTAACCACCCAGCAGGGGTCGATTAAAGTGTTTGCCCATAGGCCCGTGGCCAGTTAAATTTACAAAGGGCATGCTGAAACAAAAAGTAGATGGCCCATCTGGCTAGTCAAAATTTCATCCCTTCTCCTTGTATGTTTAATTTTTTAATTGGATCTTCTCGGTAGAATGGCAACTGGCCACCATTTTGTAAAAAGTACCACAACTTCTTTATTTGCTCATATATCGCCATGAAATGAGGCAAATGGAAGCCAAAATGTAATCTTAGAGTGCAGGAGAAATATTTCAGGGGTGAGGAGATCAAAACTATTCAGAGCCCTGCTAGCTGGTTATGCGATCTCAGGTACGGCCACTACGCAGCCTCCACCATTTAGTTGTAGGCCAGTTTGAAGAAGGGCCAGTAACTTTTGAAAGGAGCAAGCCCTGCTGGCTACACACTAATTTGTTGTTAAATCTACCTCTGCCCAGGGAGCCAAACACAATCATATTGGCTACACCACAAAACCCATTGTAATAAATGTCCTATAGACTGAAAACTGAACTAGGCAGGCATTAAACAATAAATACAACTAGATGTATGCCAATGGTCCACTAATGTCCTATCAATAAGTTGAGATACTCATAAGGACATGACAAGGTTAAAGAAGATCATTTTTCCATTTCAACCAGTTACCTGACACTGGGCCAAGTATATCAGTTTTCAATCAACTCTCAGCATACTCAAAACATGTGGACAATGGTAGAAAATGGGATTTCCATCTACTTCAAATGTCTCAGAGAGACAATAAATTGAGGCAAGTCAGTGCATGGGAGTAGCATCAGCAACAGTCACTAGACAGGTAAATGTCTTCTTTGAGCTTGTTGTTTCTACACTTCATCAACAGAAGTAACAAATCATGTCTAGCAGATAAGTAGGTTTGGGCTTAATCCCTGCCAATTTCAGGAGTGAATACCTTTGTGTATGCTGAACTGGTCCGGTTATGTTTGTTTCTCTCATTGATCTTCTCCATAATTTCCTGCCCCAGTCGGGCACAGACATCGTAGTCCGATAACCTGCAACATAATAGATCTCTTGAACAGAAAATAGCATTCAATATAACACACATAGGAGTCCGACATCCTGCAATATATTGGACCTCTTGAACAGAAAATAGCATTCAATATAACACACATAGGAGTCTGTAGAACCTGTAGAGTGAGTGAGTGAGTGAGTGAGTGAGTGAGTGAGTGAGTGAGTGAGTGAGTGGGTGGGTGGGTGGGTGGGTGGGTGGGTGTGAGTGAGTGAGTGAGTGAGTGAGTGAGTGAGTGAACGAGTGAGGGAGTGAGTGAGTGAGTGAGTGAGTGGGAGGGAATCAAGGACAATGGTCACACTGGCAACACACACTAAAAGGGTGGCCATCGAAATGCTGATTGCAATGTCTGATGTTCACACTCGTCACCTATGAAGCAATCACTTGTCTCATTTAGGCTTGATCAGTTAAAAGTCTGACAATATCACTGCCTATGGTGTGGACCATCATTCCCTTATCACTTCACTAATGTTGTATAGCCTGTCCCGTGCAAGTGGTCATGCAGCTGACACAGTAGCAGTGCCACCAACGTTTGAGTCTACTGGCCCAGTGGTAGTGGTAGAGCGTCCGCCTGGAGAGTGGAAGGTCTGGGGTTCCATCCCCGGCCGCATCATATCAAAAGATGTTTAAAGATGGTACTTGTTGTTACCATGTCTGGCACTTGGCATTAAGGGGCTAAAACAAGGACTGGTCGGCTCAGAGTCAGTATACTGTGTCTGAGTGGGGTATTCATGTTAAACTGCGGCATGGTATCTCAGTATGCTAGCACTATAAATCGGCATCAGTCGGGACTAGTACAAGCAGCCACAAACACACACACGTACATGCACGTCGCTATATAAGTGCAATAATCTTGGACACGACGTTAAACCCCATTTCACCTCACCTACTAGCTCAAAATTGGCTCTAAGCATCATTTTCAGTAGAAATTAGTGTTACACTATGGACTATTATGTAAAGGAGAAATCTCTCGAATATGTTCTTTCAGGAAGAATCAATGAGCAATGAAGGAGCGAATTTATTCTATCAGGAATCAATAGGTTCAGATGATTTCTCCAACTTAACCATGTTATGGTTGATACATAATTTATCCATAATTTTGCATAATGATCCATAGTTGCATCAGTTTTACTTGGCCAGAATGAATAGCCAGTGCAACAACAATAGTGTGATGTCATCATGGTTTAATAGCTGACCTCAATAGACCAAAAAGAAGTTCGCTAGACTTGGGCTTTAACTAGTGGTTAAAATCCAGTAGTGAGTATTGTTCGTGCCAATTTGAGCAATATTCAGGGAACCCTCTCAGTTTTCATAACATCAAGAATGAGTTTTATATATTGTACCCACGTAAGAATCAAACCTGGGTTTCCAACTGGTTGACCTTAACCACTCAGCCACCAACAGATGACAGTAATGACATTCATGATGTTGGGAGCATGGAGCTGAGGGGAGCACAATGACACAGTGTGTGAGACACAGCCGATATTCAGGACGGTCACCGGGAACTACTTGTACTAAGCCGCTATTATGGCATCCCAAAGCCCATTTGAATTGCCTCATGTGCCAACAACGAGGTACTCGAGATCTATTCTGATCCCGAATCCCATCATGACGGTGTCTGGTCAGTATTGTCAGCGTGACTCCCAGCTGGATCAATTCTCCTCCTTCCCTTGACAACCAAGTACTGCAGACTTGTGTTATTATTACAAATAGAGAAGGAAGGGCAACTTGAGAAAAATGATCATGGTCATAAGGACGTTTATTACAGAAAGTAAAAGGTTAACTGCAACATGAGACTACTTCAAGAAGTCTGTACGACCGAGAGCAGCACAAGGAATGACACAATACATTCTTCATCAGGTTAGAGACTGCGCTGGATGATACCGAGAGAGAAAAAAATACAATTACTGACTCTATGCTGACCAAACACTTTTGCTCCTTTATATACTCCACAAAAGAAGTTAAGGACACTTGATTCTTCCATATAACCAATGTTTATCTGTAAAAAATGTTATATTTGTGATAACACTTTCTTAGTTAAGTACAAATTCTCGTACGTTTTGGGGTTGAGTCCAATCCGGGATTCGAACTTTACTAAGAAAGTGTTATCCCAAAGATAACATGTTACATTTGACCACTTTCTAAATGGTATTGTGTATTCAGAATGTAAATCTGTCTTGCTACGGGGTAGATTAACTATTGTAATATGAACAAGCATGAAATACTCACATCCCCCGCCAATATGACATGTCGGGTGTGTGCAATGCATTAGCTCCTGTGAACTATGTTCACTGGGCCTCTTTGTAAAGAAATATAGTACGTTTTTCAAGATCTGCTCCGGAAACAAGGACTACCTCCATTTTCAGTCTAAATCAAAGTCGTTGCCATGGAAACTTGAAAAATAACTTTTTTTGAAATCCCAAACTATCAAAAGGCACCAGTTTACCACTAGATCTATCTATGTGCCAAGTTTGGTGAAGAAATATGGTACGGTTTTCAAGATCTGCTCCGGAAATGAAAGGTGACGGAAGGACGGCACCCATTCCTATATCCCCCTTCCACTTCGTGGCGGGGGATAAAAAATCAGATGGTCCTTAACTTCTTTTGATTAGTATTTAAAGGATATACAATTCTTGACAAACCTTGACTGAGGACATAAAATCCCTATCAAACTGCCTTTGACAAGAAAAGGTCACGGCCATTGCAATAGCATGCAAACATGCTGCAAATGCTTCAACCGAAACAAATGAAAGGTAGAATGATATGATGTGCTTAACATTTTGTATCGGATGATTGTTATGCTATCATCTGTTATCGACTTGCTATTCAGCATGAATCATAATCGGTAAAAGCGATGTTTGTGGCATGTCTTCTAGGGCCTGTTTGTGTTTTCATGTAAATTTAAGCAAACTTAGAATTAAGAGTAATAAGACCACTTCGAGAACAGACTTAGTTTAGATTTTGCTGTGCCACCTTTATGACAATCTTGTTAAGTATCGAAGGCAAAGAATATCACCCTTAAATTATTTTTGAGTGAACAAACAGGTTGGTCAAGTGGTGATGCAGTGTTCGCGATGGCGATTTCATCATGTAAATCAAAATGTAGTGAATGAGTGAAAATAATTTGATGTGGTTAGTCCAAACTGATTATATTTCTAATCAGAACATAAATAGATTAAAATAAATAAGATAGATCATACGTATGTTTCTATGTAATTAGTTTTGATCATTCCAACATCCATACTGTTTGGTATCTAATAGGACTCATAGATATTATTTGCGTCACTTCTTATTTTTTACAAGAATAGGAAAATATTTTGCGTCCAGTAAAACCCTGTAGGTGTATCAGTTCTATCGTTAAATGAACGAAACTAGTTTGAAGTAACAGACATCCCCCACACTCCAGAAACAGCAGTTGGTGATTCAGCGGATGGACGTGACAGCAGGTCATCAGGGAAGACATAAAACCGATATAAACACTCCACCCTGAATATTTCAATGGACATTTCTCTTTTACAGCGGCATTAACTACTGGTCACATTAATTATTTAACTTATAGATCTGCACAGTATTACTGCAGTACTGCAGTATGGACTTGATGTAACACGGACAAGCAAAGAAATGATGCTTTACTGTCGCCATATTTTCAAGGTATGCCCCAAACTTGTAACCCAGGCAACATATGTGGACAATTTTGATTTCAACTGTGATACATTCAACACACATCCCTCAAGGAACATGAATGTGGAGCATTGTGAGGTGACAACTACCCGTGAAGATCCGGGGTAGAATAGGTCTTCAGCAACCCATGCTTGCCCTAAAAGGCGACTATGCTCGTGGTAAGAGGCGACTATGCTCGTGGTAAGAGGCGACTAACGGGATCGGGTGGTCAGGATTGCTGACTTGGTTGATGCATGTCATCGTATCCCTATTACGTGGATTGATGCTCATTACATCAATCACTGGATTGTCTGATCCATACTCAAAACTGTGGAATATTGCTGAGTGCGGCATTAAACAACAAACACAAACAAACAAAGGTGACAACTATACCCAACCTCACTGTTTAAGATTTACTCATTACACATCAAGTATGGTTATGTCGTCTGCATGTTGAAAAACAATTTGCCTACTGTCAAACTCAAAGGAATTCTAGCAAAAATGTCCCATGTCTCAAGATAATGTAGTAAGAAAGTTATCATGTATATGTCGCAACAAGCTCTTTCTTGCATGTATTTTATTTCAAGAGCTTGAACTTTAATATTAGCTACTCATATGCTAGAAAAGTTAGAACTGCAAACACAGGTGATGCTACAAATAGGAGTCTTTTCAGCCATTACATTCTGAACCAAATCTTACACACTTTTTGACAAACATTGGCAGTAGAAATGACCTGGATATATTAATATTTCATGGATTAGTGGCTAAGGCATTGGCTATGTGTGAAGAAAATTCCCCTAAAAGTGTGCTACATTGTACAATCTTCTCATGGAGCATGCAACTCATCAAGATCCAAGGTTAGAATAGCTCTTCAACAACCCATGCTTGCTGTAAAAGGCGACTGACTATGCTTGTCATAATAAGCGACAAACGAGATCGGGTGGTCAGGCCTGCCGACTTGGTTGATGCATGTATCGTATCCCAATTGCGTGGATTGATGCACATGTCAATCACTGGATTGTCTGGTCCAGACTTTATTATTAACAGACTGTGGCGTTAAACAACAAACAAACAAACACAGAGTATGCAAAAGAACAGATTTTGTCCTACTTGAAATGTTATGTGTTTTCTAATTTACAGAAACTTCAAACTTCAAGAAGAAAAGGAATAATCAGCAGAGCAGGTCTGTGACCTAAGATGAAATTGCACCCAATGTTTGTACAGCCTAAACCCACAACTTCTAAAACATCTGCTTGGATCAAAGACTTGCATCCAAATATTTTAGTAAAGCACTTTCTGTTGGCCCCTAAAGTCAGTCTTTGA